ATAACATTGACTCTATGGGTCATGGGTGGCAGAGGTTTCTGTGCTGAGAACGCACTTCCATCACAGTGACGTCGCGGTAATAGTAGTGATGGACAGCCAATAAGATTGGCTTCTGATCTTGTGAACACTGTGACAACCAATGACTGTGGTCACATGATTTATTTATTTATTTCAGGTACTTATATAGTGCCGTCAATTTACGCAGCGCTTTACATATATACTGTACATTCACATCAGTCCCTAACCCTCAAGGGGCGTACAATCTAAGGTCCCTAACCCTCAAGGGGCGTACAATCTAAGGTCCCTAACCCTCAAGGGGCGTACAATCTAAGGTCCCTAACCCTCAAGGAGCGTACAATCTAAGGTCCCTAACCCTCAAGGGGCGTACAATCTAAGGTCCCTAACCCTCAAGGAGCGTACAATCTAAGGTCCCTAACCCTCAAGGGGCGTACAATCTAAGGTCCCTAACCCTCAAGGGGCGTACAATCTAAGGTCCCTAACCCTCAAGGAGCGTACAATCTAAGGTCCCTAACCCTCAAGGAGCGTACAATCTAAGGTCCCTAACCCTCAAGGGGCGTACAATCTAAGGTCCCTAACCCTCAAGGGGTGTACAATCTAAGGTCCCTAACCCTCAAGGAGTGTACGATCTAAGGTCCCTAACCCTCAAGGAGCGTACGATCTAAGGTCCCTAACCCTCAAGGAGCGTACAATCTAAGGTCCCTAACCCTCAAGGAGTGTACGATCTAAGGTCCCAACTCACATTCATACATACACATACTAGGGACAATTTGGGCAGGAACCAATTCACCTACCAGCATGTCTTTGTTGTGTGTGAGGAAACCGGAGCACCCGGAGGAAACCCACACAGACACAGGGAGAACATGCAAACTTCAGGCAGGTGGTGCTGTGGTTGGGATTCGAACCAACGACCTGAGTACTGCCAGGCGGAAGTGCTAACCATTTAGCCAGTGTTGATTGGGCGGTCCTTCCTGCCTCCTGGGCATAAAACTCTGTTAAGGGGATACTGAAACTGGATGGGAAGAACAGTCGATCATGTGACCACTAGGATAGCCAATCATATGACTAGGAGCCAGTCCTATCATTACTAGAGACTAGGCGCAGTCTATGACAGCTCGGTCACTGTGATGGGAGCATGCTCTCAGCACAGAAGACTCAGCTATCCATGGACGCATATAAGCGTCATGTAGGTGTTAAAGCTTACCCACTTTGCTGCACACATATGTATCATGTGAATGGCAAGAGGTTAACATGTTATAGATCATATGAGATTTTAGTGGTTGGATTTACACCAGAGTTCACATTGAGAAGTTTATATTACTATGCGTAACCCTGAAATCTTCCTTCCTCTACAGAGACAACCTCTATAAGGACGTTATTTCGGGATCCCTTCACCTGAACCTGCCCCGTCAGGAAGGGCCATGGAAGGCTTTGTTAACACTCCACGGTGTACAGCTCGGTGCCCCCGGTGAGCCGCCGGCAGTGATGAAAGAGTCATGTTCCACCAGCACATCTCATCAGCGCCTCTCAAAGCCGCGGCCTCGGTAATTTGCTCATTTGACGGAGGCAGAAGCGGCCCGGAAAGACGGATCACTGGCGGCTGTGGAGCTGAGCAGGTCCATATTTAAGCTGTCGCCATGTTTTATGGTCTGTACAAGCTCCGAGCCGCAGAGGGATGAGAAGCCATCCGTCAATGTTAAAATGGCAGATTGCAGGTAATGAATACAGCGGCGGCCTCTCTCCCACCATGCAGGTCACACGCTGAAATCCCCCCCTTCCTGAATCCAAATCCTCTTCATCCTGCAATTGGGCTTCTGGGGGACCATGGCTTGAAGCCTCCAGATCTCATGGACACAGGGATCAGAGTGACTGCAACCAAACACAAAACTGATGTGTATTTTCAGATATAAAACTCCTAACAATTGTTCTCAGCTGGGGGTCGAGATTTCCATATTCCCGAACGTCCTTGCAATATATGGTTGGGTCCTGCTGGCCGTGTGACAATGAAGATGTTCTGAACTGCCTGGTCTTTATTTCCAGGTCCAGACATGCAGATAATACAGGAGAAAACCTGCAAACAGGATTTGGAAGATGATAGTTTGTAAAGATCAGAATTCAGTTATAACTTCAACCGTACCTGAAGGATCAGGAAGGAAGGAATTTATTTTTGCCCACTGGAGAAAATTGGACCATGCTTCATAGGAGCTTTGTATTGCTTCTGGAACCAACTGGGTGTATAGGACCGTGTATATGGGAGGTTACTATTTATTCATTTTTTTTTCTATTGGTTGAACTAAATGGACTGAAGTCTCTTTCCAGCCTGACTACGAGGGCTGTACCAAAAGTAATACAGTAGGCATAACGTTTTTATGAACTTCCATAGGTCATTCAAATTTCACGTTGGTAGAGAGTTGGTAACACTTCCTCTATAGTAACTCTTCTTCATTCATTTTGCAAAGCGCTGCCCAAACTGTTGGCGCTATATAAATCCTGTATAATAATAAAATAATAATTGCTGGTAAAAAATGGATTCCAAGCAGAAGCAACGTGCCGTCATTGAGTTCTTGAAGAAGGAGATGTTCCAGCTGTCCGACATTGATGGTCACCACTGCGTGGTTTGTCTTTAGTGCTGGTTTCCCCTTCTTTAAACTTCTTCATCCATCTGTGTACATTGTCAATGGTATAATCTTCACAAACATTCTGCAGCCTTCTGTGGATGTCAGGCAGCCTGAGCCCCTCCTCCAACAACAACTCAATGACAACATGTTGCTTCTGCTTGAAATTCATTATTTACTGGAGGAAGAGGAAGAAGAAGAGCAAAAAGAAGAAGAAGAAGAGAAGGAGGAAGAAGAGGAGGGAGAAGAAGAAGAGGAGGGGGAAGAAGAGGAGGGAGAAGAAGAAGAGGAGGGGAAGAAGAAGAGGAGGGGGAGAAGAGAGGGGAGAGAAGAGGAGGAGGGAGAAGAAGAGGAGGAGGAAGAAGAAGAGGAGGAGGAAGAAGAAGAGGAGGAGGAAGAAGAAGAGGAGGGGGAAGAAGAAGAGGAGAAGGAGGAAGAAGAGAGGAGAAGGAAGAAGAAGAAGAGGAGAAGGATGAAGAAGAAGAGGAGGAAGAAGAGGAGGAGGAAGAAGAAGGGGAAAAAGAAGAGGGGGGAGGAAGAAGAAGAGGGGGAGGAAGAAGAAGACGGGGAGGAAGAAGAGGAAGGGCCTGCACGCCTCCTTAGTCAAGAACTCAATGATGGCATGGTGCGTCTGCTTGAAATCCAGTATTTACCAAAGGATGGAGAAGAAGAAGAGGAGGCAAAAGAAGAGTAAAAAGAGGAAGAAGAGGAGGAAGAAAAAAAGGAAGAAGGAATGGATCAGGAAGAAGAGGAGGAGGAAGAAGAAAAAGAGGAAGGGCCTGCACCCCTTCTTTATCAAGATCTCAATGACAGCATTGTGATTCTGCTTGAAATCCATTATTTACTGGAGGAAGGAGAAGAAGGAGAGGAGGAGGAAGAGGAGGAGGAGGAGGAAGAGGAGGAGGAGGAAGAAGAAGAGGAGGAGGAAGAAGAGGAGGAGGAGAAGAAGAAGAGGAGGAGGAAGAAGAGGAAGAGGAGGAGGAAGAAGAGGAGGAGGAAGAAGAGGAGGCGGAAGAAGAGGAGGCAGAAGAAGAAGAGGGGGAGGAAGAAGAAGAGGAAGGGCCTGCACCTCTCCTTAGTCAAGAACTCAATGATGGCATGGTGCGTCTGCTTGAAATCCAATATTTACGGGAGGATGGAGAAGAAGGAGAGGAGGCAAAATAAGAGTAAAAACAGGAAGAAGAGGAGGAAGAAAAAGAGGAAGAAGAAGGAATGGATCAGGAAGAAGAGGAGGAGGAAGAAAAAGAGGAAGGGCCTGCACCCCTCCTTTATCAAGATCTCAATGACAGCATGGTGATTCTGCTTGAAATTCATTATTTACTGGAGGAAGGAGAAGAAGGAGAGGAGGAAGAAGAGGAAAAAGAAGAGAAGAAATAAGAGAAAAAAAGAGGAAGGGAAAGAGAAAGAAGAGGAGGAGAAGGAGAAAGAAGAGAAGGAGACGGAGAAAGAAGAGGAGGAGAAGGAGAAAGAAGAGGAGGAAGAAAAGGAGAAAAGGAAGGGGAAGAAGAAAAACAAGAGTTAATATAGAGGAAGAGTTAGTATACCAATGTGATATTTACTTTTACTGCAGTCCTCACAAGTACAGAGCCATTGCTGAATTTCATATAGATGGTCCTCAACACATAACAGATAGGCAAAACCTTTGTCAATAGAACCATCACTAACCTGGGACCACCATGCAAGCCAGGTGACTGATCCACCAAATCATCCATTTATGTAATATTTGAGGCAATTGTTGCCTAATGCCAGGCAATCTGTATCCAGCAGACCTTGGCTGGCTGGTCTTCAGAAGACGAGGTGTTTTCTTGGACAGTTTTTCCTGGACAACCACTAGGTCAGTGATGGTGTTTGATGTATAAACATGTACTGTATGATCACTGAAGCTAATTGTACATGTTTATACCAACTGCTCCACACAGGAAGGCTCCCGACCGTTACCCCATGTCGTCCATGGCTTGACTTTGTTATACAGGTTCCATCACTGACTGGGGGGAAGTCAGTACTTTGCATGGGTTTAGTTATCAAAGGGGTGAGATAGCAACCTGGTCTGATTGCCGGTGAATGGCAGCTTCCATCTAATGCTTTTCATATTGGTATTTTCCTTTGCTAAAGGTTACCTTATAAACTTGACAAATGCTTGGAAATGGCAGTTTCCCTGGAGATCCCACTTTTGGACTGAAGACTTTCCAGCAGCAGGGGCCCTATGAGGCTAGCATGAGGCTGGTCATTGTCCCAAAGAACACATAGGTTAAATCTGACCACCTAGTCTTTCCTTCAGTCTTGCACAGGTGTACCGGCTCCTCCCTTCCAGTCTTGCACAGGTGTATCGGCTCCTCCCTTTCAGTCTTGCACAGGTGTACTGGCTCCTCCCTTCCAGTCTTGCACAGGTGTATCGGCTCCTCCCTTTCAGTCTTGCACAGGTGTACTGGCTCTTCCCCTTTAGTCTTGCACAGGTGTACCGGCTCCTCCCTTCCAGTCTTGCACGGGTGTACCGGCTCCTCCCCTTCCAGTCTTGCACAGGTGTACCGGCTCCTCCCCTTCAGTCTTGCACAGTTGTACTGACTCCTCCCTTTCAGTCTTGCACAGGTGTACCGGCTCCTCCTCTTCAGTCTTTGCACAGGTGTACCATCTCCTCCCCTCCAGTCTTGCACAGGTGTAACGGCTCCTCCCCTCCAGTCTTGCACAGGTGTAACGGCTCCTCTTCTGGACTGAAATGTCTTAACTCTGATTTCGCTGCACACTGGAAGCTTCTCACAATGTGCATCAGAAACTGCAACAAGTCAGATAGAGCTCCACCCCATTTCCTGGCTGGAGGAGGTCCAGCATCATCTAGCACTTTCCCCCCCAGCATGAGTGTCCATGCCCCGCCCCGCCCCTTTCATTCATTGGATTTCAGTTCTTTCAGTCATGGGAGGCTCAGCATCACATGTGGGCGTTACCTATGCAAATGAAGCCTGCCTAGGAATGTGCACTCTTCCAGATTGACACCCACTCATCAAGGCACTTTGATATTTGAATAACTCCTCCCACTGCCTGTATCATGATTGAGGGCTCTTAAGTGGAGTACTGAGGAAGGGTGCTGTGATGTTTTCAGGAAGCTATGTACAGCCCCCTGCCGGCCCCTCCCACCAGCTATGACCTGCTTGCATTGCATAGAGCAGCTTATAGACCCAGTGATGTCTAAAATATTGAAAATGAAAAGGTTTTATTTAAAAGTTTTATTATTATGTTGATGAGGGGGGAGGGGAACCAGGGAGGGTGGTATATAGGCAGATTAATCTTCAGCTTTTATCTACTTGGAGACTAAATGATGAAGAATCGGACAGCCTGTAGGTTGGCCCTCACATATACAGACTGCTTTATGAGAACAAACAAATCTTTTCACAATCACATGACGAATGATAACACATTGTATTAACATGTAACCTCACACACGGAAGGGGTTAATGTAGGTGCGTCCTGACTGCTTTCTCCTGAGCGGGACGATGACAGCCGGCAGACGAATATTAAGAATAAGTTAGCTCATTATCACCAATTACCGCCGGGCCTCACACCTCATTTCTCTGCCAAGGCAGGAAAATTAGTTTTCTATTGACAGGTGCACTTGGTGGTGGACGGGGATGTGGGGGTGAGTAACGTCCCCGGAGATTTATAATTGCACAATTAATACTCATTTCACCAATTCTCCAACTGGTTCCCCCCATCATTAACCAGCCGGACTCTGCCGAGAGCCTCCAATGTGACCAGAGAACACCGCAGGCCGGGAGATCGATGGAATGGAGTGCGGCCAACACCGCCACGAATGTCATCCGTTTTACAATGCAGCCATTTGGAAAAATATTTACCATCCTTTCATCGACTTTTAACCATCAAGATTGGTTATTGTCTGTCATCGCCTTGAGAAAGAGGTCCAACGTGGCCCAGAAACATCCATGTATCAGGTCTATTTTTGTATTGTCATTGCAAAATGACGCCAATAAAATGTTGAGGTCTATGGGTTGAGTGCTGGCTCTTCCTCTTTTTTAGGTTCAGTTATTGGAAACCATATGTACAGCAACACCAGACAACACATAGAGAAAGGGGTCCAATGTGGCCCAGAAACATCCATGCATCATGTCTATTTTTGTATTGCCATTGCAAAATGCCTTCCATAAAACTTTGAGGTCTATGGGTTGAGTGCTGGCTCTTCCTCTTTTTCAGGTTCAGATATTGGACACCATATGTACAGCCAGGGGCGGACTGACCATTTGGAAACTTGGACACTGCCCGAGGGGCCGGGGGGTCAGTAGGGGGCCCCATGAGATGCCTCTGGTACCTTTTTCATAGGCTTTTTTGAGTTTGGGCAAGGACACAGGGGTCCCATGATCCCCTATTGCCCAGGGGCCCCATGAGTTGTCAGTCTGCCCCTGTGTACAGCAACACCAGACAACGCATAGAGAAAGGGGTCCCTTGAGAAAGGGGTCCAACGTGGCCCAGAAACATCCATGCATCATGTCTATTTTTGTATTGTCATTGCAAAATGACGTCAATAAAATTTTGAAATCTATGGGTTGAGTGCTGGCTCTTCATCTTTTTTAGGTTCAGTTTTTGGACACCATTAGTACAGCCAGGGGTGGACTGACCATTTGGACACCCAGACACTGCCCAAGGGCCCGGGGTCAGTAGGAGGCCCCATGAGATGCCCCTGGTACCTTTTTCATAGGCTTTTTTGAGTTTGGGCAAGGACACGGGTCCCGTGATCCCCTATTGCCCGGGGGCCCCATGAGTTGTCAGTCCGCCCCTGTGTACAACAACACCAGACAACGCATAGAGAAAGGGGTCCCTTGAGAAAGGGGTCCAACGTGGCTCAGAAACATCCATGCATCATGTCTATTTTTGTATGGTCATTGCAAAATGACGCCAATAAAATGTTGAGGTTTATGGGTTGAGTGCTGGCTATTCCTCTTGTTTATGTTCAGTTATTGGACACCATATGTACAGCAACACCAGACAACGCATAGAGAAAGGGGTCCAACGTGGCCCAGAAGCATCCATGTATCATGTCTATTTTTGTATTGTCATTGCAAAATGACGCTAATAAAATGTTGAGGTTTATGGGTTGAGTGCTGGCTATTCCTCTTGTTTAGGTTCAGTTATTGGACACCATATGTACAGCAAAACCAGACAACGCATAGAGAAGGGGGTCCCTTGGGAAAGGGGTCCAACGTGGCCCAGAAACATCCATGCATCATGTCTATTTTTGTATTGTCATTGCAAAATGACGCCAATAAAATGTTGAGGTCTATGGGTTGAGTGCTGGCTCTTCCTCTTTTTTAGGTTCAGTTATTGGACACCATATGTACAGCAACACCAGACAACGCATAGAGAAAAAGAACTGCGTTGGAAAACCGAATCCAGTTATCCACTACTCAACACAGGTGAAACGTTTATATGAGAACGTCATCATTAGACAAGTTGGGGAAATGAGATACACCCAAAAATCTGAGAAGACATTGATCGTCCAGGCTGGACCATATTAAGGCCAAAGTCAGACAAATGACTTACTAAAATCAAGAATCAAATCACAAAAATCTCTCCATGGGCCAATGTGGGTCCATCAGAACTCTGTGGTGCCTTCAAGGATGAGTTAACATTCGGGAGAAGGATTGTCCCCCTGACAGGACCACCATGCATGAAATGGCCACCAGTAAAATCACCGTGTGAAGACACAGATCTGGTGATCCATATTACACGTATGTGAACATTTTACATTTTCGAATGCGCTAACCGCAGAGTCACCATTTTCCTGCTGTCCTCTCTTCCGGGCTCTCCGGGTCAACGACTGCGGTATCACACAAAGCATTTTTTTTTTAAATTTCAACCTTCAATAAATTCTAATATGTAGAAATTCTTAAGTTCACAGAGCTGCCATTAAGTAGCCGGGTCTGACAAATCCATCATTCATGGCTGTGATTTACAGATGACACTGACCTCTTCCTGGCCTCTGTGAGCCCTGGCCGAGGTCCCTAAACCACAAATTATAATACAGAGGAGATAAATGTGACGCCCTCCCATTTACTACGGCATCGGGCTATGACCTGTGTGGCCTTTCCAGAAAACACGTCCTGAATCCTCCTGAATTTACAGCCAGCGATTGATAACCGTGGAAGGACGTTCATTCTGTATCCTTGTTGTATTTTTCGGGACACTCTACTTTAGGGGCCATTTACTGAAAGATATTGTGCGTGCAACTTCTTCCACCAGAAGTGAGTCGTGAATTCAGACAGTGCTGTGCAAAAGTTTTAGGCAGGTGTGAAAAAATGTTGTAAACGGGCGGACTGACAACTCATGGGGCCCCCCTGCAATGTCTGAACAAGGATCATCATGACTGGATCACATGTCTGAACAAGAACTTTCATGGCAGGACCACATGCCAGAACAAGGACCTTTACGGCAGGATCACATGACTGAACTAGGACCTTCATGGCAGGATCACATGCCTGAACAAGGACCTTCATGGCAGGATCACATGACTGAACTAGGACCTTCATGGCAGGATCACATGCCTGAACAAGGACCTTCATGGCAGGATCACATGCCTGAACAAGAACTTTCATGGCAGGACCACATGCCAGAACAAGGACCTTCATGTCAGGATCACATGCCAGAACAAGGTCCTTCATGTCAGGATCACATGACTGAATTAGGACCTTCATGGCAGGATCAAATGCCTGAACAAGGACCTTCATGACAGGATCACATGCCTGAACAAGGATCATTATGGCAGGATCACATGCCAGACATACAGTGCTGTGCAAAAGTTTTAGGCAGGTGTGAAAAAATGTTGTAAACGGGCGGACTGACAACTCATGGGGCCCCCCTGCAATGTCTGAACAAGGATCATCATGACTGGATCACATGTCTGAACAAGAACTTTCATGGCAGGATCACATGCCAGAACAAGGACCCTTATGGCAGGATCACATGCCAGAACAAGGACCTTCACGGCAGGATCACATGTCTGAACAAGGACTTTCATGGCAGGATCACATGCCAGAACAAGGACCTTCACGGCAAGATCACATGCCAGAACAAGGACCTTCATGGCAGGATCACATGCCAGAACAAGGACCTTCACAGCAAGATCACATGTCTGAACAAGGACTTTCATGGCAGGATCACATGCCAGAACAAGGACCTTCACAGCAAGATCACATGTCTGAACAAGGACTTTCATGGCAGGATCACATGCCAGAACAAGGACCTTCACGGCAAGATCACATGCCAAAACAAGGACCTTCATGGCAGGATCACATGCCTGAACAAGGACCTTCAGAGCAAGATCACATGTCTGAACAAGGACTTTCATGGCAGGATCACATGCCAGAACAAGGACCTTCACGGCAAGATCACATGCCAGAACAAGGACTTTCATGGCAGGATCACATGCCAGAACAAGGACCTTCACGGCAAGATCACATGCCAGAACAAGGACCTTCACGGCAAGATCACATGCCAGAACAAGGACCTTCATGGCAGGATCTCCAGGGATTATTTTATTGAAAGTTGCAGATTAAGAACAACTAGTGGAATGACACTAACAGGCTAAAGCTGATATGATAGTTTACTGATTGGGTTTATATCTACTTTATTGTTTCTTGGAAGACGTTGTGGAGGTAAAACAAAAAGTGATGTATAGGGGATAATTCTTGGACC